TACAACTTTCCGACATATTTCTTCTCGTGGATGCACTAGAGACTGAGAGACTTCGTCTAAGGTCCATGATCTCGTGAGTCTTGCTTATCTTTACTTATTGAATTTATTCTAGGGTTAAGATAAGAGCATCCATGAGTCGATTATGCTATCATCCACTCTGGAACATCAAGTGGATGAAGCAAACCCGACAACCTCTAATGTCCGGCCTTGACCTGCTGGCACACCAAACAACGTTCTACAAATCTCGCCATATCTCTCTTAATTCCCAGAAGGACCTCTTCAGATCATGACACATCTTCGTACTTCCTGGATGGACTGAGTACGGTGCATTGTGTGCCTCTTGCAAAATTTCCTTCCGCAGAACTAGCACATTCGAAACACAAAGCGCTCTAAACTTAAGGCCCCGTCTGATGCTTCTGCAAAGCCTCCCACATTGCCTGCTTTAGAAAGCTCTCTCATACGACACAAAAATCTATCCTTCAGCTGCTCAATCACGATCCTCTCTCGTTCCATGGCTTTACTTTTTTTTTTTTTTGGGTAAAATCATGTGCCGGCTCCTATTTTCAAGCTTTAACGAGCAAAACTAAAACTTAGGCAAAGTTGCATTAACTTTTGCAGCTTAGTCGAAAATTTTGGACCTACCTATGTTTTTCAGCATCATCATCACCAATTTTTAATGACCTTTTACAAACTATATAAATTCCGTTGAGACATTCATGTATTCATAATATCACCTAATCTTCTATACACGATTCTGGCGATCATACAAAATCAGAAAGTCATAAATCCATCCTGATTCATGCCCAGTGATCACAAATATCATGCCATGCCCTTGGACAATTATTTTATCATAACTATGGTTTTCCCCAACAACCTCAGGACTACAATTAGGTCAGAAAAGCTGTAAGAATTGCAAGAATTGATCTAGAACCCGACACTAAACTGGGCCTGTAATGAATCAGCCGGAACATGAAACGATGTTCATACAGCTGTTGCAAAAAGCTCCTTAAACCCCTCAGAACAACTCGAATTCGAAATGCTTGTCGCTACCACCAAAATCCACGAAACCTTTCCCCCTCTCCAACACCTCGGCATCACAAAACTCCGGGCACCTGAGGCGGTGCTCCACACCGGATCAGGGCCCAGTTCAGCCCTTCGAAAACGGGTGCTTCTTAATCTCAGCAGCCCCAGTTTCAGTCCCCAGCCGGTCATTGGGCTCCTTCACCAGAAGCCCACGGATCAGATCCCGGGCCTAGAAGCTCACCACCGGGCTTTCCGGGAACCTCAGGCTCTTCAAGACTACATTAGACAGAGTCTCCTCATTGCATGACCCCCGCACTTCCATGTCCCTCGCCCTTGATCATCTCGGGAGCCAAGTACGTGTGGGTCCCGACGAATGAGTTGGACTGGGCCTCATTGGGCTCGGCGACGAGCTGAGGCGGGGATCGGGCCCGTGGGTCGGCTTCAGCTTTCCGCCCACGGGCCCGACCAGAAGCGGGTAGAATCCCCGGGCCGAAGCACGAGGGCCCAGCGCAGAAGGGGTCGATGCAGTTTTTGGAGCCCACGCACGGGCCCGAGGTGCGGGGTGGCTCGAGGGAAGCCCGGATGACTTGACGAGGGTTGGATTGACCGAGCACCGGAGGGAGAGGTCGAAATCGGTGAGTATGATGTGTCCGTCTTCATGGACGAGGACGTTTTCAGGCTTGAGGTCTCGGTAGACTATGCCGAGCATCTGTAAGTACTCGAGGGCGAGAAGGACCTCAGGTACATAGAATCTGCCAGAACAATAAACTGAAACAAATGATTTAGAGAAGTGGAAGTATATTTTATGTTTGAGGTCAAAAATTGAACAACAGAACCCGAAGATGATTCCATAATATTTTATGTGTAAGTCTATTTTCAGTGCTCATATCACAAATAGACACCAATCCAAGCAACACTCAGACTGTACCCATAAAAAAGAAAAAAAGAAAAAAATACAGACAAAGACAGACGCAATAACATTGTAATTTCCACATTGGATTGGTTTCTACAAAAGATGAAATAGTTTCTCCCATTAAGGAGACAGACACAAAGCTGAGATTGTACGTCGCTGTTCATCAGCAAAGATGACGCAAGAACTTCATGACTAGACTGCCATGATATACAACATACAAGTACGATAATCCACAAGTAAAAAAAATGCATTATAAAATCTGCTTCCATCTCCCACTCACAAGGTGATTCAAATGGATGAAAATCATGATTGGCAGACTGATAATTGAAAGTTAAGGTTCAACGACAGCGCAGAGGTGAACCAATTCTGCAGTGATACATCTTAAGTAGAAATGAAAGAACAACCCGAGCCCACGGGACCTTTAAAGCAAAGAGTCAGAGGTACCTACATTCTAAAAGCCACATAATTTCTTGTCATCAGGATTATTTCAGTTTGACAGATATTAACACGCAGCCGTTGTAGTAATATGCACATTCTTACCGTTATCAGAGTATTAAATTAAGCCTAACTAAGAAGCATCAATAACAACATTAACAATAAGGTAAACAAATCCAAACAATAACAATAAATAAGAATAAGGTAAACAAATCCATACGCAAAAGTCATGCGCCACATAACTCCTTCCAAGTTCAAGATCCAAAACACTCAGCTACACAACAATGGAGCTGAATACCCAAGAGAAAGCGAACAAAGAAGGGAAAAACTGTTACGGGTCTCCATCGATCAAGTCCATTATACTGTTTCACTGCATTTCCAGCTGGCAGTAACTTCGAGTGTAGGAACGCCATTATAGGAAATGATCTTTGTTTCCACCCCCATTTTCATAGCTGGGAAAAAGGTCTTGCCACTGCAAATAAGATTGTCACCATCTACTTGATGACGGTCATACAACACGGCCCCAATAATGAGTGAGGAATTGGAAGGAACAGCCACCAACGACCTTGTAAGCTTAATACTTCCATCATTCCCCACCCAACCATCCTCACTTCTCTGAGTCATCACCGTCTTATCCTCATCCCTTCGTTTAAGTGATAGCAAACGAATCCTCGAGTACAATATGCAAGGCCTGGCAGCAATCAAACCAGAAACACCCTTAACCCTTTCATTCAACATCTTGACATCAAGAGTAGCCCATGCTCCACAATACTTGGAACTGTAGGCCATCATTAGGATAGGACTGGTGCTGGGGTCTCCAACCACAGACCTCGCGATATAGGGACCATACTCGTCCAAGTAACTTTTATCGAGTGCAGAAACATTGAAAGTGCAGTACTTAGATACACCATCACCTGCAAATAGGTCGCGATTCACATGATCATCACCTTTAAAAGTAACTAGTACTCCTCATCATTGATCTTGAAAGCAAAATACATATATACTCCAGTTTCTTCGCACATTGGGGGTCTGGGTTCAGCGCCAGACAGGGGAAGAAGGGCATACGGGTCAAGATCAATAGTATCAGCTTTCTTGTGGCACGCCCTGTAATAATGTATCGGTACCGGATTGTAATCCAAATACTCCGATGCCGGTTTCGTGATTTCACCGTAGATTCGGCTGTTGAGCAAGGGGGTGCTGCGGATTTTGTCGTTCAATTTGACTATGACTTTGTACAGTTCGAAAATGACTAATCCGTCGAACTTTGCTTTGTGACTGTCTTTGTGGCATCGACTTACATTGAGGCAATTCCTTTCACCGTCTTTTTCTTTGGCCATGGGAGAGTTTTCAGTGTCCCAGAAAGCTCTTTCAACAACCTTATGCTTCGTAGTGAAATCGTCATCTGTGTCAGAGTCGGAATCACCTTCATACAAAAGCCCATCATCGTTATCGTCGTCGCCACCTTCACACGAAAGCTGGTCGTCATTATCGATGTCGCCATCTCCTTCGTCATCTGATCTCCTCCGCCGTTTCTTGTCTGATTCAGGTTGAATTGCTTCTTTTCCTGCTGAGTTCCGCTCCCGTTCTGCTTCCATAGGTAGCAATTTGATTTGTGCTTGTGTTCTGTTAGGGTTTGCGTTCGGGGAAAAGCAACTGTTGACCGTTTGCTGACCGTTCTCTATTTCACGTTAATACTTCTTTGTTTGGTTTAAACTAGTAGGTCACTTCAGAGACATCCGATAAAATTGGAATGATACTGCAAGATTATCGCAAAGAATTTATCTAAAACCTGATACTAAACTCGGGACGGTAATGAACCCACCGGAGCTTAAAGCACGAGAAAACACCTCTTTTGGGCTCGGCCACGAGGAAGGGATCGAGCCAGTGCGTCGGCTTCAGCCTTCAGCTTACGGGCCCGGGCAGTGGCGGGTAGAATCCCCGTGCCGAAGCATGAAACTTGGCACGAGGGCCCGGCGTAGAATGGGTCGATGCAGTTGGAGCCCGCGCATGGGGCCGAGATTCGGGGTGGGTCGAGAGACAACCCGGATGACCTCACGAGGGTTGGGCTAACCGAGCATTGTAGGGAGAGGTCGAAATCCGTGAGCATTATGTGACCGTCTTCACGGACGAGGATGTTTTCAGGCTTGAGGTCTCGGTAGATTATGCCGAGCATGTGAAGGTACTCAAGGGCGAGAAGGACTTCAGCTACATAGAATCTGCCAGAACAACATATTGAAACAAATGATTTAGAGAATTGGATGTATATTATTTTATGTTTGGAGGTACAAAAATCGAACAACAGAACCCGAGTGTGATTCCATATTATGCACCAACCATACCTTGCCGCCTGTTCATGAAAATATCTCCCGGGCTGCTTCTGCCCGAGGACATGCAAATCTCCACCGGGACAGAACTCCATAACCAAGCACGATAAATTTTCTGAAGTAAACTGCGCATAAAGCGCAGGCAAAAAAGGGTGATCAAGCATTCTAAGAATCTCCCTCTCGGTCTGGGCCCTCCCTGTCTTTTTCCTTTTCGCTAAGAATTCGTTATCCATAACTTTAATAGCAAAAATGCAGTTTGTGCTGATCAGCTCAGCCAGATACACGGTACCTATATCCCCAGAGCCAAGCTTTCTGAGCAGGTTAAAATGACTTAGCCGCAATAAACCATCTTGCTTTTTTATTCGGTTAATTGATTCCCATTTTTTGTCCTTTGCCATATGTGGCCTACTGCCCCAGGTGGGCCCGTTTAAGCTGCTTTCTTCACTGAGGCAGGTTGTTCTGCTGCAAAAATCGCCAATGCTGCTTTTCGAGCTTTGAGAGAAATCCTTGGTGGGCTCTTTACTTGTATTCTCCATAGAACACTGACAGTTTTGGCAGATTAATGGTGTGGGATTTTGGCTCCGGCTCTTGCTTTTTCCCTCGTGCGATGTTTATAGATTTCTAACGGTGGATGTTGTTACTTTCTTTGGATTTTTTACAACGAGGGTCTTGTTTTTCACGACGGGTTTACGTGAACTGGTTCGAGTTGACTTCATATCTTTATTGCTTTTCACGGAACTAAACGAGGGTGTACTCTGTAACTTGGGTTTCCGTTTTACCTTAGGTGCCGTCTTGTTCACAGCTTTACTCGGGCCATTTACCTTATTCGACACGTTATTACTAGACGCATGTACAGTTGTTTCATCATTGACAACATTCGGCCTTTTTTTCTTCTCCTTATTATTCACTACAACTGCTGGCAAAGGACTGAACTCTGATTAGGCTCTTGAAAACCCGTACCATTTTCTCCTTCCACACGAGATACACATTCAAGATTCTGATTGTTCATAGCTAAACTTTCGGAAGAACTCGGAGCACTCTCAGCTCCGGGCCCACACAAGTTTCTCGATTTTCTAGCTTCCAAAACCCTAGGAGAAGCCGACATTGACAGCCGCTTCACAGCAGCCATCTCGGCCGCCTGAGAAATGCACATTCCCCTCAGGGCCTGTTTCAGCGAGCGGGCTCGGAAAAACAGGGCCCCGGAGAATGAGAGCCCACGGGCTTGATCGGCTTCTTGGATGCGTTTTTGGGCTAGTCCACCGTGAGATCGAGGCTTTTGGAAGCCCGAAGATTGACGGACTCGAAAAGCTTATTGATGTCGTCTCGTAAATATTTGTTGTACGGTTGTTTTACGAGGGGAGGCTTGTGCTCTCTGCTCGGCTCATATTTTGCCTCGATTGTTTCGCAATTGCCATTAGACGAGCCCATCAATGATGCCTTCTTGCTCTGTCGTTAGCAATCACGAGTTTAATGTACAAAGATTGCTGTTAGAATATCACTTGTGAGTTGTCCCATATCGTTCATACATGGAAAATAGACCCACCTTATAAGTCTAATGGGCTACTCCTCCTTCCACCAATTGGTTTTGGGATGAAACCCCATTGGGCTTCATATGGGATTTTCCCCGCTTTTGGTGCGCTTTATGTTAGTGGGACCACACGCGTTTTTCCCCAGTTTCTTACAAGGTATCAGAGCCGGTTCTATTGGGACCGTGCGTTGACGTACCCGTTTATGGGAGTCTGCTTCCCCACGTACCTGTTTACGGGAGTCTACTTCTAGTATGCTTGGGGCACCCAGTTGGGCTTGAGCTTCTCGTATCCGTTTATGGGAGTCTGCTTCCTCACGTACCCGTTTATGGGAGTCTACTTCTAGTAGGCTTGGGGCACCCAATTGGGCTTGGGCTTCCGAAGGACTCACAAGTGAGGGGGCATGTTAGAATATCACTTGTGAGTTATCCCATATCGTTCATACATGGAAAATAGACCCACCTTATAAGTCTAATGGGCTACTCCTCCTTCCACCAATTGGTTTTGGGATGAAACCCCATTTGAGCTTCATATGGGTTTTTTCCCGCTTTTGGTGCGTTTTATGTAAATGGGAGCGCACGCGTTTTTCCCCAGTTTCTTACCATTGCGATAATGCAGTATAAGATTTGCATTCTAAAATCAGTTTGATCTTTAATAGGATTTAGTAATATGGCAATGGAATACTCATTCCACAAGATATGTAAGAGCACTTTTGCTACTAATGATGTCCCTAGATTTTCTTATGAAATGAAATCTATGAATAAATTGCTCATAATTAAAGTTAAACCGCAAGTTAAGATCACGTCCCACCGAAATTAAGAATGGAGAATAATTAAAAAAAAATAAACCTAACTTATGCATTAATAAACAAGGGATTATGCTATGCATGATGAAAGCCACGTCGGGTAAATAATGGATGCCATGATCCTAATCCATCCCTAATTACCAACCAATTAGTTCGTGGGTTAATTATGTCAATTTTTACAATTGAATATCTTAAAATGAAATATATTTGCGTTGAAACGTGGGTATCTTTGAGTAGAGTGCGCTCAACTATGTTAGAACACTGAATATTTATAAATTTTCAATTTGTGTTGTACGTAATACTAAAATTAGTCGAAATAGCGGAAACACAAAATAAATGATAAAAACACTTCGAAGAGCATTTCACTACCCTTCAGAGATCTTTCATTAATAAATCGTGTGCACTCGTGTATAGTTTGAACTTACAAAACTAGAACTCCCGTATACCTTAGCCACAACTACACTCGACCTTACCAACCACTTCTCTGATCATGTCCCGTGAACTTTACACACTCGAATTTCTTGAGCAAACCCTGTACTTAATCCATAAGCACCAAAACCAAGTGTTTGAATAAAATATAAAAAAAAGCCTCATCTGACCATGTACTTGACTTCATCATAGGCAAACATAGGACGTCAACCCGTTGGGAAAGAATATACCTATATAGAGATGCTTTGTGTTGTAGCCCTAGACTATAAATAGAATGTTTGCTACGGCTCTTTTGATTTGTTCTTTTTTTCAACGATAAACAAAGAACTTCGATTAAACTCAAAAGAAGGGTACACGGATAATAAAGTGATTACAACCAACTTAAGTCTAAACCAGAAGGCCCTAAGAGGCACGAGAAAGAAAACAACTTGTGTAACGCCCCAAATATTTTTAATAATTAAATGCTCAATTTTAGTTTTCCATTCATAGCACATTTCTAATTATTTCAAGATTATTTAATTATTTGATGCATTTAATTATTATTATTTGCATTAATTTGAGCAATAAGTTCTAAGTCTAAGCTATGGAGGATTTGTTCGATTTTTAGTTTAAAAATCGAATTTATTTAGCCCAAGTATCAATTTCAATTTTATTTGAAACCTAGCCTTAAAAAGATCGAGAAATATTTAATATGGGCCAAAGCCCGGTTGAACCGAGGCCGCGGCCCAAGTAGCGAGGAAGCTCAGCCCAAGAGCCGAGCCCAAGCCATCACTCTCGGCACTTACTGAACCCATCATAAAGCGACCCAACATTTTCCCAAGGTAAGACATTTAATTCATGATGCCCTTAAATTGCTAGCCCAAGTTTATTATATTTTTAGCCCAATTTATTTTAGTCGAAGCCCCATTTTATTTTGTATAGAGCACGTCTTCATGATTTGATATTGCCCAAGCTTAGAATTATGGGAAATTTTTACATGTACTTACAGATTTTAAGGTAATTGCGAAATTACCATCCAAACAAAAATATTTGTTTATATACCTAATATATAAAAAGTATTTATAAGCATGCCTAAAAAACCGTTTCGTGGATTGTGAACAGTTACGTGGATGCTGAACACTTCCATAATTTTAGGGGCACAATATCAGCTTTTCAAATATTGAAAAGATATTATATTCGAATGTTAACTGCATAATCATCGTTTGACCGCATGTTGTTACAATAACAATACAATGTTATGTAACAAGACATATAATCCTACATATATACCAGAAATATACCAGAAACAGAACATACCCAGACATGTAACCCTACATATATACCCGACATATACCAAAAACTGAACAATGTTCTGTAACCGAGCATATAACCGTAACATATATACCATATATATAACCGTTATATATTCTATCATAAAACATAACAAATATACCAATTCACAGTGAACACAAGATAGAAAAAAAAAATAAAAAAAAGCAACTTATATACACTTTGATATACCGAAGATATACATATAACAAAAAAATAATAATAAAAAACCGAAAAATATACTATACATATACTCCAAAAATAAGTGAAACGAAAAAAAATCTCAAAAATCATCTTCTTCAACCTCCCGCAAACTTCTCATAAATATACTCCCTCCCCGTCCTAAGATCCGAATTCTCCTCTCCTCCACCTCTCGGCGTCGGCACCCTTCCAATCTCCCGCAGCGGTAGCGGCTCTCCGGCAGCGGCTTCACGGCTTCAATCTCAAATTGTTTTTTTTATCAATCTGGGGTGCTTCTTCTTCTTCTTCGTTC